CATCTCAGAGATGGGCTAGAAACCTAGGGCAGTGGAAATGCCCAGGAATCTATGAGGGTGATCCTAGCATCTCCTGTGGCCAGGCAAGTCTTCCAGTAGAAGGGCTGGGACACCAACCCAATTATAAAATCTTTAACCTACAATTTGTTCTGCTTTCAAGATGTGCTAGGGTAAAGGTGGCACAGAAATTGTGTGAGTGGCCAACCAATGGCTGGTCTAGCTTGAGATCAGTGCCACAGGAGGGATCCCATCTCTGATGCTGCCTAGAGGGGCAGGACCTAGAGGCTGCCAGAGACCTAGGATAGAACCAAACAAGGCTGGCGGGGGTTAGGGGAAGTCAATAAAATGATCCCTAATGATATTCTGCTATACTCATAGACCAAAGCCTAGCATAATCATCATCAAAGAGGTTTAATCCAACAACTGATGGAAACAGATGCAGAGACCCACAGTCAATCATTAGGCAGAGATCAGGGAATCCTGTGGGAGAGGAAGAATTGTAGGAACCAGAGCGTTCAAGGACACGACAAGAAAATCCACAAAATCAACTAACCTGGGCTTACAAGGGCTCACAAAGACTGTAGTAACAGCCAGGGAGCCTGCATGGGTCTGACCTGGGCCCTCTACATATATGTTATGATTGTATAGCTTGGTCTTCCTGTGCAACTCCTAACCGTGGGAACGGGGGCTGCTTCTGACTCTTGTCTGCTTTCAGGACCCTTTTCCTCCTATTGGGTTGTCTCATCTTGCCTTAATATGAGGGGAGGTGACTAGTCTTGTGGCAATTTAATATGCCATGTTTGCTTGATATCCCTGGAGGCCTGCTGTTTTCTGAAGGGAAATGGAGGAGGAGTGGGTATGGGGAGAGGGGAGGTTGGTAAGGAAGGACTGAGAGGAGAGGATGGACAGGAAACTTTAGTCAGAATGTAATATATAAAATAATTTTTTAAATGTTTTAAAAAGGAAAAATGGACTGTGTTAATGAGATGGCTCAATAAGTAAAGACACATTGTTGCCAAGGCTGACAACCTGAATTTCCTGGAACCCACATGGTATAAGGAGAGAAACGACTCTTGAAACTCGTGTGTGTGTGTGTGTGTGTGTGTGTGTGTGTGTGTGTGTGTGTGTGTGTATGTGTGTGTATACACACACATACACACACACACACACTACTATGATACTTAATGCTTTGTATAAGAAAGGGTCAAAGAAAGAAATTTCTATATGTGAGCTCTCAATTCCAAACTGATAGTGCAATGGGACTGTACCACCACACAGTTCTGGGAGGTAGCCTGTTCTCCTAGGATCTAGCAGAGATCTGATACCTATTGGTCTCTTTGTCTAAACATCATAATCATGCTTCCTAGTAAGAATCAAACCTGTAGACCTTCTAGATTCGTTCCTTCATAGAATCCCTGTCAACTTTTCACACCCCTAAGCATCTTCACACCCCTAAGCATCTTTGCTAGGACTGATCTAATCATGCAGTAGACATCAGCAAGCCTTCTACATGATCTAGCCCTTAGTCAGCTCTATGGTGTTACCTGTATATCCTTGTTCTGTTACTAATTACAGTCAGAAAAGCACAGACCTGTATTCAGAAATGATAGAATTTCATAGGCTCCTAGAACTAAAAGAGACTGTGGTCGAGGTGAAACTGCTTTCGATGATGTGAACAGTAAGAACTGTTCAGCTGTGCTTCAAAAACAAACTGGTAACACAAAAAATACTGATAATGGAAAGGATTAATACAAAGTTCTTGCTGCTTTTTCAGATGCTGCTTCCTACCCATCTCTCAGATGGCAATTCTGGGGCAACTCAGAGGCTTGGTTTTGATGGCTCTACTATTAGGTCTCTTCAAGGCTTATGGGAGTGGAGAAACAAGGGTCAGAAGGAAGAAAGGCACACCAGGTCTCATATTGCTTAATGTATATCATATATCTGCAATGTCCCCGAAGACTCATGTATTGAAAGCTTGGTCTCCAGAGCAGCACTGTTCAGAGATCATGCATTTTAGAAGTGACTGAATTGTATAGGCGTCTATCTCTCCAATGGGTTAATCCAATGATGGGTGCATTTGATAGTCTACTGGGAGATAATGGGAATTTAGGAGGTAGAACTTAGTTGAAGCAGTAGACTATTAAGGTTGTAGTTTGAAGGACAACTGACTCCCTTTTCTCTCTCACTGCTTTTACTTCACTGCCATGAGGCAAGGAGCTTCTGCAACATACTCCCTCCACCATGATGCTCTGCCTCTTCATTGTACAATGATGAGTCAATGGAACCAGTCAACTATGAAAGCATAAAACAAAGAGCCATCTTTAAAAACGATTCCAGGCTTTTCATCTCAGTGATGAAAAGCTGTGTAACACCCCAACCCTGACTTTCCCCTGCATCCATATGCTCCCATTCATCTGGATAGGCTGCATGCACAATTATTTCCTGCCCAGAGGTGGAACTGCCCACAGTGGGCTGGGCTCTCCCATATCAATCATCAATTGATAAAATGCCTCATTGCTTTGCCTATAGAAAATCTAAAGAAAGCATATTTGCAATTGAGAATCCCTCTTCCATAATGACCCTCATTGTGTCAAGTTGAAAAACAATTAACCAGCACACCATAGAATACTTGTCTTCCTCAAATAAAAGCTAATATAGAATACTAAATTGAATGTTCCTTCATTTTAAGAGAGAAATGGGAAGCCACCATTTGGTCTCTTTTTCTATCCATTCCCGAAGACTGTCCCCTATTCTTTGTCTCTACAGATCAGAGATGTCAGGGCAGTGATATAGTCCAGTCTTTTCCCTGTTGTATGCTTTCAGAAAAGACTAGCAGAGCTCAGGACACCCTGGCCATGACACGGCCTGTTGGCAAGCACAGGCCTGGAATCATTCCAAATGACTCACATGCACTAGGGATGACCTGTAGCATTTTTCAAAGGACAACAGAGTTGATGGAATCTTCTCCCATCACGGACTGCAAACAGCACACAAGCTGTGTGATCACTCGAGTGTATTTAAATTTTGATGCAGGGTAAGGAAAGAGAATATTGCAGTGCAGCCATATCTTGAAAAGCCTTTGAAGCCCTCATTAGTACCTCCAAAAAAGTTGAGAAATTCAATTGATCTTAGAAATGTCACAGGAAAGTACTTGATAACAAAGGTCAGGATGTTAAGCAAAGAGAGAGGAATTAATCTCCATTCATTAAGAAGATGCCAAAGTGACCTTTAAGCTACATCAAAGTCCTATAGCTGAAGAAAAGGAGTTTGTTATGAAGGTCCCTTTCAGCCTAACATTCCCTGCAGGCTCCCTTGCCAACCCCAGCCTCAGAAATATCTCTGTCCTTCTACCCTTCCTCTATTGAAGCTAAAAACCTAGGCTAACCTTTAGGAAAACGACTGTTGAAGACAGGACATGAGTCTAGAGAAACCTCTAGACATGATCACAAACCTCTGTGCAGACATGGTCACTAAGCAGTTATTGCTCCTTCTAACCTCTCCAAGGCATTCCCTTTGGCTTGGAAAGCCTTACATATTTGAAGATTTTACCATCTATCCCTTCTTTTCATTGTTTTTAAGCCTCAAACTGGCCTCAGAAACTATTGCTACTGGCAGAGAAGGAAACCCCAGTATGGCTTTCTCCACTTCCCCCTCCCCCATTGCCTCCAATCTTACCTGATGTCATGGCCTTTGCCCCAAACCTGCATCCTGTTCTTATCCTTCCTTCCTGTTCTCCTTCATGAGGTATGTCAGTCCCTAGGAGTCCTCAGCAGAAGAGCCCTAGTGTGCAATTTCATTTTCATTTTCTCTGCCAATGGCTATGAGACCCCCTCTTTCACAATTACTGTGTTCATGAACCTTCTTTCTACGAGTTCATTCTGGGTTCCACACAAAAGTATATTTTTCCTTAGATGTTTAATGCCTCATCACCTTCATCCTGAGAATAGCCTCCAGCCTGTCTTAACTGTATCACAAGAGCCTTCCATTCTTCTTACCTCATACTCTTTCCTTCTCTGAGATATCATGGGGCCTTCTCTACCCCTCCATACAGGCACTGAAACCCCATTGTGTCATGATTGTTCTTTCTGTCCTCTCCTGTCCCTATGGACAGAGATCATGTCCTCATCAATTTATCTAATGAAGAGAATGACAGTGCTAAACACACACACACACACACACACACACAGAAACATGAACACTCCCACACAAACATAGCTATACATACTATACAGACACATCCACTGATGTACCACATCTTCCTGGCCATTCTCATAAAGAACCAAGCAAATTCCCCAAATCTGGAAGAAACAAAGCTAGTTAGAGAATTACCAAGCCAGAAAACATGAACTTAGCATAGCTTGTAAAATATTCTCGAGAGTCTTCTGTCCAGACAAGCATGCTTGAAATGAATAAGGCAGACACTAGATTTGGAACACTATGAAAGGAGACTGCAGATATCTCCTTTGATGGCTACCTGTTGAAATAATATTTTAGATATTAAGTCAATGAAAAAGGTACTTCTAAAAGTAATTAAGTTGTGGCATTTTGATTTGGTTTGGTTCAGGTTTTTTGATATTCTTTTACTCCATAGACCAGACTGGCTCCAGTTTTCCAAACACTGGGATCACTGGCATAAGCTACCATGTCATAAGCTACTTTTTCATTTAAATGTTGCTGCTGAAATGACTAAAGTTATACATAGTTCACATGGTATTTCTCTTCAGCAGTAGCAATGCCAGAAGTCTTTCTGGAATCCAGCCACACCCAGGCTTTTGCACCTTCCCTCAGGATGCACTGAACAGATGTGACAGAGACCATCTGGCTGCAAAGCCAAAAGTGCTTACCTTCTGATGGTTTGTGAGCCAGATAGAGTTACACAGTGTGCATGAGAGGCTGGCTATGCCACTTACTGTTGTAAAGCTTCAGTTACCCATAATCCAGGAAACCGCAAGAAACTCACTTCTAGGGAACAGATAATACCCCATTGAAAATTACTGTAAGCTGCCTCTAGAGGCGTTGCGGATGTGGCTGCTGTGTCCCGTGTGCATCAGTAGGTGGCAGACAGGAGAAAGGCTATGTCTACACTCAGTTTTCTGACCTACAAATATCTGAATGATTAGTAGCCTAACACTTTCTGAAAAAAACAAGACCGAGATCACCACCAGTCTGGCACCAGTCGAGCCCAGCTGGGCACCCAGGGAAGTAAACCAAAGACTAGAAGATCCCCACCTGGGACTACAGGCCCTGGCCAGGAGTGAGTCTGAGACAGATGCCTCTTGCAAGTGGTCACTTGGGCAGGCCTGGTGAGGAGCAAGTCTGAGATGAATGAACACCAGACCTGTTGTCATGGGGCCAAGACAGGGAGCAGGCCTTAGATGACTACCAGTCCAGCACTGCACAGGCCTGGGGGTGTGGACCATGCTCAAGATTATTCTCCTGCTCGGTGCCCTAATGCTTGTGAGAGAAATAGCACTCCTGAGACTATTCCTAAGATGACCCCAGACATTCAGAGACTCTAGGTGTCACTAAGAGAAGCAAATGGTGGAGAAATGGAAGAAAAAGAGAAACAAGGATGTGGGCACTCTGAAGAGAGGCAGAACTGGAGAGTTGAGGGTAGTGAGGAACTGCCTGTTGTGAGTAGCTGGTGATGCCACGTGAGACCATGGTTGGCTCCTGGGCTGTGCTGCACATCTAGGCCCATGGCCCTGAAGAAGTTAGAGGTCTGTTACCACCAAAAGCCCTGCAGATGTCCCTTGTTTGTGCTTCTATCCAGAGACACGTTGATGTCTGAGGGCTGTGCTGAATTGGCCCCACTCCTCACTTAGGCATTGTGGGAGAGCTGGCCCTGGAGACATGAGAGCAGAAGAGCTGAGCTCAGTCTTTGCCTTCAAACTCCAGTACTCAGGAGAGTGCCCTGAGCACTGAAGGAGTTGCAGGTGAATCAGTCTCAAGGATGTGGTGCTCTTTTTCCCAATTACCACCTGTATCAGGTGGGAGACCTGGCCCTGGGAGCAGGAGAGCAGGAGAGCTGGCCCCCCAGGGGGTCATGAGAGTGGGAGAACTGACCATGTCCCTCACCAGCTGCAACACTAGAGAGAGTGGGCCTTCACCTCACCTGGGCAGCAGGGCAGAGCTAGCCTGGGGTTTTGAAGGTTGTGGGTGAGTCAGCCTCAAGGGTGTGGGAGCTGGCAGGCTGATACCTCTCAGGCCCAGATCCAGGGCTTTGAATTGGCCCATCCCAATGTTTACCCCAATGATGAACTATTGGGATACATGAAGGGGCTTATCATACAGATCCAAAACTACAGGATCTCCATAACACAGGGCAACAGCAGGATATCCAAGAGGAGTACTAGTGAGGATCCAGTCCTGATAGAGTAGCAGAAGCCAGAGGCCTCAAACCAGACCAAAGAGTCATTGCAATGAACATTTGCAAGCGAAGAAGTGTGGACAAAAGGGAATACTGTGGGACACACTGCGACACACTATTGCTTCCATGAGATTATTTTCTTCTATTGAGGTAGAGGTTACAAGGGTGGAGGGTTGGAACAAGGGCTGGGGGAGATGAGTGGGATTGGGATACATGGTGTGAAATTCACAAAAACCAATAAAAAGGTTTTTTTTAAATTTGTGTACTGTTTATTAGAATTGCCTTTTGTTGTTCAAAAGTACATTTCCCTGGTAACTGAATTGTCAAATGTAATGTTTCAGTGAGTAGATTAGTGTTGTTACAAAATGTGAGGGTGAGTTAGACTCCACCTCGCATCTTGGGAATGTTGGGGTTTTTTTGTTTCGTTAGTGGTTTTGTTTGTTGATTGGTAAATTTTTCTGCATCTTTGGCTATGGAGGAGAGTTTATATTTAAGGACTAATATTTAGAGACCTGGTGCACCCATTGCTGGATTCAATGGTGGCTAATGATGAGCACATTGTCTCTCATGTTATCTGAGTGCCATGTTTTGAAGTTGAATGGTTTGGGTCAACCTAGATTTTTTTTTTTTTGCTTCAATAGAGAAACAGCACTGTTGAGTGACACCAGTAGCTCGGTGAAATTCCAGAACAAATTTTGAATACATGGAAAGAATTGCCCAGGAGCTTTTCCTGGGCTTCTTCTCAGTTAGAGAGTCCTATTATCATCCCATAGATACATCCATTCTATGGGAATGAGCACCTCAAGCGCTAGAAGTTTCTTTCCCACTCAAATACTTCACTTTCAGACAAGCTGAGGGCAGAGATGTTGCTGTCGATGCTGATTCTGCTGGATGGCAGGAGTGTTGCCAGGGACCTGAATAGCATAGGAGAGGGGAACAAGGGACTGGGAAGGAAGGGAGGGTTAGCAACTCAAGACCTCAAGGGAACAGGAGGTCATCCGGTTCCAGAAAGCTCTTGGCAAAGGCAGCAAGGCTTGCCGAACTGCACTGCAAACTATTGTTTCTCTAAGGAAGCCATCTGTTCCTGACTCAGGCCAGCACTAACATGAAAGCCACTGTAGCCTGGCCCCCAGTCAAGGCCTATGAAAGCACACCACTGAGTTTCACCAGCCACTTGACCTCCTGTCTTCTGAATGATGAGAGGAAAGCACTTGTCATGGTCTGTTATTGGATCTTCAGCACATTTCTCTTCTGTGGATCTTGTTCCCAAACCACAGATGGAATCAGATGAGATTTAACCAAAAAAGCAAGACTGTTCCTGGGCCAACATCCAGGGAATGTGGGAGAGAGGAAGACATGAGTGCTGAGGCAAAGTAGCCTGGAACCTGGTCCCCACACCCCCAACCCGTGCATACCTAATGCTAGTTTTGAGACCTCGTTCCAAGCTCCTGCCTGCTAGGCCTAAACCCTCCTCTTTCCCCTACCCACATTTATCTCCTTAGGTGATACTCTCCTTCTTTATCCCTCCTTTAATACCTATTTAAGTCCTTAAGACTTGAGTGACAGTGTGCCCCCTCTTGACCATCGCTTCTTCCTGTCTCCTCCATAGTAGAAACCTTTCCAGAAATTCAATGAATTAGATGCCCTGTCCAATCTAGGGTAATTGTCAACCCTAGCACAGAATGTATGGCATCTTCAGTGTCTAGTGCACTCACAGACAAATGAGCAAGAGGTACTGATCCAGCTTCCATTATCCTCTTCTTTATAACAGTGCCTATTCTGTCTCCCTGTCTGCTGTGATACCAACACACCTAGAATCTACCATGTGTACCAGGACTGTGTCCTAAGCACCAATTATTTGCAGGAGAATTAGAACCAGCCCCAAAGGGGCAGAAATTCAAGGGAGGAGTCCCTGTCTCTTCATTTGTGCCTGCAATGCCTTTGTACTTCCTCTATCAACCAGCTGACGTGGTACAGACAAGTTACACAAAACAAAATTATTGCTCACGGATGGACAGCTAGGGTTCATGGTGAGCTTATCATTCAAGGCTTGGGAAACTTTCAGGTGGATGGTGTCTTTGTGGGCTGTGCTCTATTTGTGCTATACGTGAGAGACCCCAGAGAGCAGGCCACTAGGTTTTCACATCCCAAAATCACAGTCTCCTGGGCTAAAGCTCTGAAGGGTGCACTTCTTCAAGTGGGAACAAAACTGAGGTTGCTGTGACTATCCTTCCATATCTCAGGATTGTATTTTCCAGCATGCTATTCAGTTATTCCTAGAAGCATAGGGATAAGGCAACCCTTATAAAAGAATTGCCTTGACTTCCCACCCTCACTTTAATAAAAGGCCTTACTGCAAAAGAGGTACTTTGAGATGCTTCTGGTGGTTGATAGCAGAAGGAAACCATTTAAAGGCCACAATTCTCTAGATTGGCGCTTTCCAAGCTGAGAGCAACTTTCTGGTTCTTCTGCAGATCGGGGGATCTTCAGGAGTTGCTAAGAGATCTTGAAAGCTGGGAAAGGGCCAGTCCTTAATTCTCTGGCCACCCTAGAGCCCAGACTCCTCCTGCTCTCCTCCTGTCCTCTGGTGGACTGCATACCCACTGGGATGACTGAGTTGAATAGAATGAACAAACCACAGCAAGTTTTCTTCCTGGTGACCTTCCCGACGATCAAAACTGTGCAGAGACCTGTCTACACCCATTCAGCTGTGGGTGACTTGCTCAGCACTGTTTCATGTCTTTCATGTCCTTTAAACTTCAAAACTTCTCAGAGTATGTAAACAACACATGCGTAACCATGTTAGGGCACCAATCACGGACCTCAAAAATGCCCTCAGCTGTTGGAGTTATTACTTTTCTGTGGTCATTCAGAGTACTGAGGCAAAATGAGAGTTGTGGTGAAGCCACACAGTGGCTCTCATAACTAGGATGTTGCTAATACACAGCATGAAGCTCACAGCAGACACGGTCTACCCTGGCTACATATGGTATACAGGACAGATGGATAATTCACATTCCCCAGTAGATTGACATAAAATTCTATCACACTTCTTGGAGTGACAGACACATTAAAAGCTATGAGCTATAAGCTATATGCTTCCAAAATTTTCTATTTCTATTTTCTATTTCTAGGATTCTAATACAATCCTGAGATACAGAGGGATAGTCACAGCAGCCTCAGTTTTGTTCCCACTTGAAGAAGTGCACCCTTCAGAGCTTTAGCCCAGGAGACCCTGTGATTTTGGCATGTGAAAGCCTAGTGGCCTGCTCTCTGGGGTCTCTCACTTATGGCACAAATAGAGCACAGCCCACAAAGACACCATCCACCTGAAAGTTTCCCAAGCCTTGAATGATAGGGGTATGCAGTGATGTTCAGTGTAATGTTACTCTGCATCCTCTTGATGCCTTTTGATACATCAGTTACTACAAGTGTTGCATACCCCTTTTTCTATGCTTACTGACCATTCCCTGGGGTCTTGGAAGTACTCTCAAAACCCTTTGGAAAGTTTGGGGTTTACATGCTGGTTTCATCAGCTCCTCTAAATAGCACTTCCAAACTTATTGTTCAGGAGCTCTTGAACTATCAGAACTTGAAACCTAAGAGGAGAGGGTCAGAGGTAGGCTCAGTCTTGATCTCAAACACTTTCTCAACAGATAAAGTTCTCTTTTCCTAAAAGATTCTGAAAACAGCTTTCACCCACCGTTACAGGAGACTTGCCAGAGGTAAGAAGGCAATGAAAAATCTGGTCTCTGCTGGCAA